CGACCAGCAGCACGCCCTGTCCGTGTCCGCACCCGTGTCTCCCACTGGACGTCCTTCGTCTCAGCCCAACTTCGCCCAGCCTCACATTGGCATGTTCCAGGAGTCTTGGGGCATCAACAGCATGCATCCTGGCATGCGTGGTCCCGGTCACAAGCGCCAGCGAAGTCGCTCTGTGCCCATGGCCGTCGACTTCTCCATGTTGCAAACGCCCATGCCTTCCTTCTACATCCAGCAGCCGGGCGAGATGTCGGCTCCTCAAACCCCTGGTCCCAACATCTACGCTCCGATTCCCCAGCAACCTGGTGGCCTGGGTCCGAACTTGAGAATCGACACTCAGGCTGGATTCGGTCTGGATATGAGACAGTACCCCATGTCGGCAACGACTGCTTCCCCCTCCGAGTTCCCAACGAGCCCCAACTTCTTCTCCCAGGGACCGGAGCCGAGCCCTCTCCCGGCCTCGAGCTATAACACGCCGTACGGCAGCGCCTTCCTCTCTCCCATGGCAAACCCTTCACCAGGCATGATTCCGCCCTCCGTATCCCCTCTTTCGTTCGGAAGCCACCATGGGGAGCCGTCTATCGTTGAGCAGTCGCCTCCGTTCTCTATGCCTGGCAGATCAGCCTCGGCCGATATCTACCAACAAGGTGACAACGGATCATGCGCCGTGTCTGACGACGGCACCGGCTTGAACGAGATGTACTCGAAGCACACTATCAACCTGCCGATGCACCCTCACTCACCAGCGTATGGCGACCAGGGCCAGAATGACCTTGACATGAACCAGCTGGTTCAGTTTGACAATGTCGACCCCAACTCGATGTCCCCCGAGTCCATGCATCAGACACCTCATTGAGCCTTTTCTCATGGCGGCCGGTAGGCCGAGCATACCAGAAATGACTGGGAGCTCCTCGGAATAGGACATGGCGTACATACAAAATTGGGGCGTGCTCCCAATGCTTTCTTAAGGAAGAAAGGGGAGTTAGCTTGCCTTTGGTCGTTCACAGCTGGCGTTGAGGCGCTCGATATATACCAGATGGGTTGCGCTTGGTTTACTTTCAACACCGATGACTACGATGCTTGATCCAGTTCTCGCTCCTCGTTCATTCATCGGCCACGACGACTCTGCATGACGATACCTCTATTCGGAATCTCGATCATGCATGTCTGGCACAAGCGATCGTACACTTTGCACGTTCTTGGATTTTCTTCAACAATTTCGAGTCATTTATTGTCGCGAACAAACTCATTGTGCTGCGATGGTCAGGGCACTTGAACGTGTTCTACCTCGTCATCATCATCTTTTTTGCCACGCCGAACGCGCAAAGACGACGGCGTGGCCCCTAATAACATTCCCTTCATTGTTGGTTGGCTTGCGCTGCACATCGCTATCTCGTTGATCTTTTTATTTCATCTGTCATCGTTCATGAATCTCAGATGTCTTTGGCCGCGGGGTTGGGAGATGAAAATGGGGAAAAGCCCAGGTGGCTTGGGATTTTCCTGGTTCTTAATCAGTCACACATTGAGGATATACAACTCTCCGACACACTTTTTTGTCTACCTATACTGTTGGATATTTTCTTGGTTTGATGGGTTGTGGGGGAGCAGGGGCTTTGTGGCTTTTGTGTGTTGTATGCCGGCATCGCAGCGGCGGTAATGGGGAGCCGCTTGCTTGGAGGCCGAGCAGCGAAGAGGCTTGGCCGGCCGTTGCTCGAAAGAGACGGTCGGCTTGTAAGTATTGACGATAGATTTGAGAGACAGATGGGCATTTGAATCCCTGTTTTCCCACTTCACATGAGCTGGACCCGCGACCCGGAGTGTGTGCCCAATACAGCGAACAATGAACGGCAAACCCCGGGGAGGCTTTGACTGGTGATGATTTGCGACTAACGACATTGAAGATCCACGGCATTCCGTGGCTTTACTCCACCGAGTATGCACTACGATAAAATCGTTGGGATTGAAGCGATGTAACGTCAGAGGGTAGTCCAAGTTCGAATTCCAGAAAGGATGGCTGCGGGTGCGACCACGTCGGCCGAGTCTGGACGAGCAGCCTTTTTTTGGATCTCGCGGTGACACGAGATTGCAGAGTTGGATCGGGAGCCCATCGGGATAGTGGGACAGGACCCAGAGTTTGTTGTTGTTTGGTACCGTCACCGAAGGCAGAGTAGCATTCGGCTTGGTTCTAGAACGGGTGGGCTTTTGTAAGGCAGACTCGTTTTTGTCGTCGGGTTCACAGTTAGGGGGTATATGCCAGGTGGGCGTATTAGGCATGACTTGCGTGTGTGGTAAGGCTGAATATGGGTTGAAGAGCGGACTTCAAAGCCGTGTGTGTTACGCACAGATAGGGTCGCAGCAGTGCTGACGCTGCTGTTCGTCCCCGTTTTCTCAAAGTGGCTTTCTGAATGCGGGCCGTGAGAAATATGTGTCGGTATACCCCGACTTGGGGAACGAGAAGCATCGACGTTGCAGCGGTACTCATCACCACGGAAATATAGTAGCAGATGGTCCATTACCCTCGTCCGTGAAGCAGCGAGACGACCGAGAGTGCGAGGTAGTCAGTATGAAGGCCATGGATTGTCCACCTTGCCTGCTCTAGCTCACTATCTGAATACTCTGGGTCGGTTCGGTTTGAGGTCGTCGGTAACCGCGGCCGCGGTCGGGAGGCCGCGGGGTGCAACAAGCGCGGGTCTCCGCTAACACGAGGGCGAGGAAATTGCAACCGCATTGTTTGCGAGCATGGCGGGAAGACGACCGGAAGACAATAGCAATGGTGTGGGACGTGAGTCGTGGCACTGAACTCTGAACGGGAGAACGTGCCCAGAGGCGGATCCAACGGGAGCCGTCAAGAAAGGAATGCAGGGCTTCCAAACATTGGGCGTCTAGGCGAGGCGCGGTGCCTCTACCGCAGGTCTTGACGATCTGCACAGGACGCCGTCGAAGACAGGGGCACAATGGGAAGACTAAGGGCGAGGCATCAACGGGCGAATGGAAATGGTGAATGGCATGTCCACAAGCAAGGTGTCAGGCCGGACAGTGAAATGCATCACAAATACGGAGACTTTTGCGTGGTCTTTGTGGGCTTCCGACGGATAGATTGTTTTTTTAGAGTTCCCAGCCCGTCTTTTACTCGCGTTTCCTGGATGGGATTCCCCTGTAGCAGGCCGGGCCACCTACCTGTGCGGCCACGTTCGTCCGAAGGTTCTTGGTGCTGTCATAGGTATGCAGATAGGTCCCTCTTTTATGTTTTCCAGAGTCGAGTCTGTACGTACGTCTGTCTAAGCCGACGTTGGGCAAAACCCGATGGGTTGTGATGCGAGCGCCGTCCGCGTCTTGCCTCCGGCCGGCCAAGAAGGCGCTCCCCCGACATGTTTGTGGGCGGGCAACTGGCAATGATTTCCATACGACCGGGGCGTTTCGGGACACACGGAAACGAAACCAAGAAAGTTTGATGGAAGCCATGACGGTTGCCAAGATGTCATGGCTTTCTCCGCCTTCGGTTGCTGTGCGGGAATCTTGTTGGTGGTGGTGGTGGTGGTGGTGGTGGGCTGAGATAAACTCGTGGGAAAGTCGAGGCACCGCGCCATGGTTGACGCTGCGATTCAATGCTGCTGTCCTTGCCGCAGCTTCCGTAGAAGCAAACCGCCCCCTCTCGAGACTCGACCCAGTCAGGTGTCTATGCTCGGGGACGCGGCAGGTGCGGGCGGGCGACTGCAAAGAACTACGTACCAATACAGAGAACCGCATCCTGGCTCCTGCCTCCTTGCGCACCTCGCATTCTGGCATCCTCTTGCCCAATGACGTCCTCCATGCGGGGCACGCGATACACGTAGTGACTTGCCTCCCACGCTCTCGCTGGACAAGTCTTCCCCGTGGCGTACCTTTTTCTTTTGCCCGCCTCGATTCCCAACATGCACCTCGCGATGGATCCCAGCCGGATGTGCGATGTAGTGGACGTGTAATAGAACAATGGTGGCAGTGGCAGTGCAAGTGCAGATATGTGCGCCAAGCCTCACTAGAGACACCAACGCCAACTCGAACTTCGTTTCGCACCCCGTGGTTGGATTCCATCACGCCCACCTTGATTGCAGCCTACCCACCCCCGTATTCAATTATCCCCCTTCCTTCCGGGTGGGAGCCACTGCCACGCCTTGACGTTTGGCCAAGCGGGCCTGGCCGTCCATTCTCTTGCGTGTCGATGGCGGCGCAGCCTCTGGATGCTGCAACCATTACAGGTACACGTCCTGCCAGTACCCGACTGACTGCGTATCCTTAGCTTGCCCCGTCCAATATCTCTACTCTGTGCTCCCAAGTACCGAGGCGTTTCCAGACGCGCAATAGAAGGAAGGATACGTCGGTCCCATTTCCCGGGCCCCTACGTCGGCGCTTCCTTCGGCTTTCCGCCTTTTACGGGAATACAGCACCGCTCGTCCTGCAATCCTTTTTCCCGCGTTGCCTTTCTGTTGCAATTTGCTGTCTAGTACCGTGTTGCCTCGCCTTGCTCTGTTCTGACCACCGCCACTGCTCTCACTCACATCGCCAACACCAGCATTTTCCCTACATCACCAACCTGAGATCGACCTCACATAAGCTCTCCTTCGTGTTCCAGCAGTGACGTCGCATTCGTCGATCCTATTAACTGCGCCAGACGGTTTCAGCCCTGCGAGCGCAACATTCTTCCTATAGCTCTTAGCCTCTTGCACTGACCCGGGCCTTGGAATCTTCGCGCTCCCAGCAGCCACGCCAGATACAGCAAGGAACGCGCCACCACAACCGCGTCGGGGGCCAATGAAGAGCTCTATGGCAGAGCCACTGTGGTGAATCCGGGCCGCCATCTAGGGGATCCGTTTAGGACAAGCCCAAATTTGCTCTCCTTCTAGTCGCAAACTAGACCCAACGACGACTAACCCCGAGCGCGCCCCTCGATCTGCGCTGCTGATGGGGTCCTAGACTGAGACTACCTCGACCTAGACAGAAAGCGACCAAGCTTCGCCCCCTCGAGAATGGACAGACGAGACCTGGGCGACGCCCCTTCGCAGCAAGATGAAGACAGCGACCCCGCCCCGAGTCCCCTACCGAGCTCGAACCCCTTCGACAACCACACCCATGACAATTCTCATGACCTCCAACAGCCGTCAGGGAACCCGGCGCATCGCGCAGCGCAACGAATCCAGCCGAGACGAGCCGTCACCGAACCAATGGGCAGCAAGGGCGCCCTCGACGGCGGCTACGTCCGCTTCTCGGATGAGCTGCCTCGTGACGCCGTGCGCGGCTTCGACCCGGCCTCGTCGCACCCGAATCTAAGCAACCCGGGACTCTACACGATCCCCTCGAGGGGCGACCTGGAAGGCCACGGCCTGGCTGAGCCGTCTTCTTCGCGGCGCGCTCGTCCCAATAGCGACCAGAGCTCTGGCCAGCCTTCGGATGCTGACCTCAAGTACCCAGTCTACCGGCCAGAACCGACGAAAAGGACGAAATGGCGTGTTGCGAAAGAGTCCATGAGTGACCAGCTCAAGAAGGCGTATGATGTCTACATCATCCAAGGATTGTTGCGCCAGAGGCCGTTGCCCCCGAGTGCAGACGGAAGACACATCCCGCTCGACATGACGAGGAAGCGAAGCGACGCCCTCATTGATGAGCGCACTAAGAAGCCGTACGCCAGCAACTTCATCCGGTCTAGTCGATACACCATATGGAGCTTCTTACCGAAACAGCTCCTGTTCCAGTTCAGCAAGATGGGCAACTTTTACTTCTTGGTCGTCGGTATCATCCAAGCCATACCGGGACTCAGTACCACAGGCCAGTGGACAACTATTGCGCCTCTCGCGGTATTCGTATCGCTGTCGATGGCCAAGGAAGGCTACGATGATTACCGCCGCTATCTTCTGGCCAAGACCGAAAACCTGAGTCGTGCGTGGGTTTTGGGTGAACGGTCACACAAGGCGACGGCGAGAATGAAGAGTCGCAAGGGAGTTGAAATGGCCGAGGCTTCGGAAGATGGCTGGACCGAGATTGAATGGCAAGATCTCAAGGTTGGCGATGTGGTCAAGCTTCACCGCGACGACGACGTTCCGGCCGATATTGTCCTACTGCACGCGACCGGGCCCAACGGCACAGCCTACATCGAAACTATGGCTTTGGACGGAGAGACGAATCTTAAAGCGAAGAGGGCGTCCCCGATTCTGGCCGAAAGATGTCAAACTGTCGAGGGAATCAAGTCCTGCCAGGCGACCATCGTCTCCGAGGACCCAAATTTGGATCTCTACAGATACGACGGTCGTGTTACCGTCAAGGAAGAGACGCTGCCGCTGTCACTCGACAACGTCATCTACCGCGGCTCTACAGTCCGAAACACCACTGAGGCGATTGGTATTGTTGTCAACTCGGGCGAGGAGTGCAAGATCAGGATGAATGCCCACAAGCACGTGCGCACCAAGGCACCCGCCATGCAGCGCGTTCTCAACAGGATCGTCATCTGGCTTATATTCGTGCTCCTTGCGCTGAGCAGTGGCCTGACGTTGGGCCACTATCTTTGGAGAGACCCCAACGAGGAGCGATCCTGGTATCTCATGGGTGACAGCATCGAAATGAAAAAGATTTTCATTGCCTTCATCCTGATGTTTAACACGCTAATCCCGCTGTCGCTGTATATCAGCTTGGAGATTATCAAGATCATTCAGTTCTACATGATGGGAGATGTCGAAATGTACGATCCTATCACTAATACGCCGATGGTTGCCAACACTACAACGATTTTAGAGGATCTTGGTCAGGTTAACTACGTCTTCTCAGACAAGACGGGTACCTTGACCGAAAACGTCATGCGATTCCGCAAGATGAGCGTTGCCGGTACTGCCTGGCTGCACGACATGGATATCGAGCGGGATGAGCAGGCCAAGCAGAAGCTTATCGAAATGGCCCGAAAGAAGCGCAAGGGAAAAGGAAAGGACAAGAACCGCGATAAGGTAACAAGCGACAACGAGAACAGCTCGTCCCAGCTTCAACCGGCTCAGAGACGTACATCCTTCACTTCCCACGGGCGAGGGCAATCCGCCAACAGGGCTCCTCAAGATGAGATTGAGCTCAAGACCGAGGATCTTCTCGACTACCTGCGGCGCAAGCCCGACACCACTTTCTCTAAAAAGGCCAAGCAGTTCCTGCTCTGCATCGCTCTCTGTCACACTTGCCTACCGGAAGTCAAAGAAAACGGCGAAATCGACTACCAAGCTGCTTCTCCTGATGAACTGGCCCTGGTCGAAGCAGCGCGCGATTTGGGATACCTCCTTATCGATCGGCCCGCGCAGTCGGTCGTTTTGCAACTCCCGGAAGCTGATGGGTCTACCACAAGGGAAACGTACCAGGTTCTCGACGTGATTGAGTTTAGCAGTCAGAGGAAGAGAATGTCCATCATCATTCGCATGCCTGACGGCAAGGTCTGCGTCTTCTGCAAAGGCGCCGACAACGTTATTTTGCCTCGTCTCAAGCTCAGTACCCTGGCCACGCAGAAGGCAAACGACGTCAATCGGAGGGCTTCAGTCCGCAGAAGCGTCGAAAAGGAAAAGGCTCAACAGCAACGCCTGAGCACTAGCGGCACACCTCGCAGCAGCTTCATGCTAGGAAGAACGTCAATGTCGGAGCGACGCAGTATGATGAACCAGAGAATCTCCAGCGACATGTACAGGCGTTCGAGCGTCGTCAATGATGATCCCGAAGCATGGTCTCCGCGTAGAGGGTCGGCAGACATCCTTTCGCCCATAGGCGCCCACGACATCTGGTCATCACCCCGTCACAGCATGGCAATGTCAGCGAGTGAAGCCGAGGTTGATGAGTTCATTGACGAGACGACTGCACTAAACGAGGGCGCAGTCCTCGAGCGGTGTTTCCAGCATATCAACGAGTTCGCCTCCGACGGCCTGCGAACCTTGCTTTACGGCTACAGATATATCAGCGAGGACGACTACAGCTCATGGAGAAAGATTTATCAAGCCGCTACTACCAGTTTAGACAGCCGACAGGAGAAGATCGAGGCAGCCGGTGAGTTGATCGAGGACAAGTTCGATCTTGCTGGAGCTACGGCTATCGAGGATCGCCTGCAAGAAGGAGTGCCAGATACCATTGAAAAGCTTCGTCGTGCCGGGATCAAGGTTTGGATGTTGACAGGAGACAAGCGCGAGACCGCCATCAACATCGGACACTCTGCCGGCCTGTGCAAACCGTTTTCAGAAGTCTTCATCCTGGACGCCACCATGGGCAACTTACAAGAGTCTATCCTGTCGACTCTCGGCGAGGTTGCGCGAGGTATGTCTCCCCACTCTGTAGTGGTGGTGGATGGCCAGACTTTAGGCGTTATCGAAGGAGACGAGGACCTCAGCTTCCTCTTCTTCGATCTCGTGGTGAGAGTCGATTCGGTCATCTGTTGCCGTGCCTCTCCTTCGCAGAAGGCTTCTCTTGTGAAGCGCATCCGTCGACAGGTGCCGCATTCTCTGACCCTGGCTATCGGAGACGGAGCCAACGACATTGGCATGATCCAAGCTTCTCACGTCGGTATCGGCATTTCGGGTCGTGAGGGTCTTCAGGCCGCTCGTATATCCGACTACGCCATTGCACAATTCCGCTTCTTGCAGCGTCTGCTGTTCGTCCACGGCCGCTGGAACTACCTGCGAACCGGCAAATACATCCTGGTTACCTTCTGGAAAGAAGTCGTTTTCTTCCTGCCGCAGGCGTATTTCCAGCGCTACACAGCATACACCGGAACCTCTTTGTACGAAAACTGGAGTTTGACGGTGTTCAACACGTTCTTCACTTCACTGTCGGTCATCCTGCTGGGTGGATTGGAGAAAGACCTGCAGGCGAAGACGCTTCTGGAATTTCCCGAGCTTTACACATACGGCCACAAGAATAGGGCATTCAACGTCAAGCTCTACATCGGCTGGACGTTTATTGGTCTGATTGAGTCGTTGATCATTTTCTGGGTGACATGGGCTGTCTACAACTCGTTACCGTTCGACCAGGACACGTCTCTCTACGCCATGGGCAGCGTTCCCTTTACCGTCTGTGTGGTGTTCATCAACATCAAGGTGATGTAAGTTGACCTTGTGTGAAGCCGTATGAATCCGTTACTAACGTTTACAGGGTCCTCGAGATGGAGAACAAGAACGTGATCATCTTGATCGGGTTTCTCATCTCAGTTGGCGGCTGGTTTCTCTGGAACATCATTCTCTCTGCCGCTTTCCAGAACGTCATGCGCATATACCAAATCCGGCACGCTTTCCTCCAAAATTTTGGCAGAACACTGAGCTTCTGGACCACGATCCTCCTTGCGCTTGCGGCGGTCGTTTGTCTCGAGCTTGTCGTCGACGCCATACGCCGCGTCTACTGGCCCCATGACGTGGACCTGATGCAGCGTCTAGAAAGGCAGGGACTCAATGAAAGCGACGGGGAAGCCGGGCACGGGCACAGCTCCGGAACGGTATTGGAAGTTATCGGAAGCAAAACGAAGTCGGCCGCTGACCATGATGAGGAGGTGCGGCCGTCCAACGTGGATGGTGCGCCAAGGCCGAGCCATGCCACAAGCCGTCCGTCGTTCCACCAGGCAAGACATTCGAGAATGTCGAGGGAGGAGCATGCTCCCCGACCCTTCACGCCCCCGGTCGAGGAGAGTACCGGGACCCTGGAGGGGGAGCAGGATGCGCAGAAGCCGTCTACGAAACCACAATTATCTCTGGCGACAAGGTGGTTGGGTAGCAAGAAAGGCTCCCGGGCGGACGGGCCGATCGAGCTGCAGTCTACAAAGGCATAGGGGATGTAGGTACATCCGCGCGATCCGAGACGCATACGATATGAGACTCCATGGTCTTTGTTATATGGGGTTTGCGATCATCGCAGAAGGGGAACATATGTGATCTGTATATGCAAACAGTTGCACCTGGGAAGGCTTCGGCTCCACGGCAACTTGGACTGTCCTTTTCGTTATTTTCTTTCTTGATACCACATAGCAGGAGGGCTGGTGTCCTGCGACTGGCGTTTTGTAGAGCTTGGCAAAGTAAACACTCAAAGGATTGGCTCAATGTAGATAGTACGACTGATGCAAAGAAACAAAGATTCTCAACTTTGGATTTAGCAAGACGGTGACTTTGTGCTTTGCCCGTGTTCTTCACACGTGAAGGCCGAAGCTGGAGAGACAAGCGCAGCTGGCGATGGGAACGAAGTCTATGAAATCTGGGACTGGGGTGCCATTATGTATTAGAATAGGGTCGAAATGGACAGTCGATTTATGCACATGTTTTGGTGGATTGCCCCCCTCTTCAACGGACACGTCGTGGTCCATTTTACAGTGAGAGAAGTTTTTGGGCTCATGATCGTGAATGATTGGGGATGCGTCGGGATCATGATGGTGGGGCTTGGTTCGGGAGGTTAGGGGGTTAGTTGCCCTTCTTCTCGTCGTCCTTGGACTCTTCCTTCTTCTCGTCCTTGGGTTTGTCATCCTTGTTGTCGTCGGACTCGCTGTTCTCCTTCTTGGAGTCGTCGTCGGACTTCTTGTCGTCCTTGGACTCCTCCTTGGGCTTGTCGGACTTTTCCTCCTTCTCAGGCTTGGAGTCCTCCTTCGAGTCCTTCTGGGGCTTCTCTTCGGAGTCGGGCTTCTCCTCCTTCTCCTCGGGTTCTTCCTTAGGCTCGTCCTCGGACTTCTCTTCGGACTTCTCCTCGGGGCTGCCGTCCTTGTTCTCCTCTTCCTCAGGCTTCTCCTCAGGCTTCTCAGGCTTCTCAGTCTTCTCAGGCTCCTCGTGCTTTTCTTCCGCGTGTCCAGCGTGAGCGGCGTGGCTCTTAGGGGACGGGCTATTCCAGGGCTGGATGACGGCGAGACCGGCAAGAAAGAAGGTTAGTGAGCCAATGGCACTATTTGGCGAACGCTGGTCAGCAAGACAGAATCGATAGTTCAGGACATGTCACATTCGCAAAAAGAAGGTTCGTATCAAAACTGAACTGGCTTTTGAGAGGATATAAGGTGAAATCGACTTACAGAGGGAGCTCACTCTGAGGCTTCGCGCCATGTTGGCTGGCATAGGTCCTCTGGGCGAACTGAGGACGGAAATGGGGCCGAATGGTCCGGCGCGCCGAAACTCGGAGGGTGGCGCGAATGGAAGCAGCTCTGGCGAAAGACATGTTGAAGAATACCAGAATTAGACCTTGGAATGATTCGATGTGTCTTGATGGAACAAACAATGGAGCAGGACGGCTGAACTATAAGTCAATTGAGTAGTTGGAGATGTCTTCTAGTAGAATGTACAGAGAGAAAAAGTACAAGAACCAAAAAGATACGCTTGGAAGAGAGGCAAGCAAAAGCAACGTTAAAAAAAGCCGGGGGTGGGAGGGATTTCGGGCGCTTGGCCAGACCTGCCATCCGAAGTTTGGAGCTCGGAGCTGCGAGCTGCAGAGCAACAGCCAGCAAAGCTGGGGTGGAAACTGGACGGGAACGAGCTTCGAGAGCATCGGCCAATGGAAGTGAAGAGGCTGGATGCTTCCAGATGCCGGGGTGGCTGGTTCCCCATAGCTCGTGGTGACGACATCGCTGGGGTAAGTTGGAAGTTCACAGCACAGACCATGAAATCCCGAGGCGTAGGTGGTGTAGAGCTGTCACCGATTATGTAACACCGGGGACTGGATATACCGAATATCCGAGACCTCCTGCAAACGGAGCCTGCACGGTGCTCTCGGCGGTGCTTCAGCCAGCGGAGGTCGTCGCGGGCAGGCAGGCAGATGGGGTCCACTTTCGCGGGGCAGTAGCGACCCGTACGTAAGGTATTATGTAGCAGGCAGTGAGGGACGCTACCCTTACCTGATCCCGCCCAACGACGCTGGACCTTCCTGCCTGGAGCTCACTGGGTCGACCTCTCGACCCCACCACCAAACAACGCCTCTTTGACGAGGGTCTCGGTTGTCGATTAACCAAACATACAACAAAGCACCCCAATTCGCCTGCGGCAGCTCAACGTCTATTGTTCAACCAAACCTCTACCTCGCAGGACGGTCGATTTTATGCTCTTGCTCTGCATGGTCAGAGCCACAGAGTCCCGCTAACACGCCACCTGCTGCGACCTCCTCCGACCTCCTCCTCCCCCGCATCGCCTCCTTCCACCGCAGTCGATACCCCCGTCAGTTTACACCAAAGCGACCGCCAACATGTCTTCGTCGAGCGTGCCTCAGAACCCGACGCCCCAGACGGTGATCCAACTCGTCCAGAAGCTGGGAGATGCCGACCCGGACTTCCGTTTCATGTCCCTCAACGACTTGCTCCAGGTCCTGGCCAACGGCAAGCCCGATTTTCTGCACCACGACTACAACGTCGCCGCGCGCACAGTTGATAGCATCATCAAGACGCTCGACGACCAGAATGGAGAGGTTCAAAACCTGGCCATCAAATGGTGCGAGCAGGACCCCTTCCCGACCCCCGATCCCTTGGGCAAGAGCTAACCGTTTGCCGCCGCAGTCTTGGCCCATTGGTCATGAAGGTCCCGACACCCATTATCGCGCCGATGATCGAGAAGCTCTCCGCCATCAAGCTTAAGAACTCTGTTGACAATGCTGTTCCCTCGTTGGCCCTGCGCGCCGTCATCATGGCCCTGCCGAAACCCACACCTGGCCTGCCGCCTTCGAAAGAGGTCCAGGAATCCTATCAGGCTGTTAGCCGGGTCCTCATCCCGCGACTGCTGGGCCCCGGCGGCAAGGTCCAGCCGCAAAACCCCTCCAACAACATCCAGCTGCCGCCTGTCCCGCAAGGGCTCCTCAAGGTGGACAAGGACCTGAGCGCAGAGTCGGTTGATATTCTCATCGAGGTCGTCAGGTGCTTCGGCACGATGTTGTCAGCTCTCGAGGTCGAGGCGATGCAGGATGCGGTCATCAGCCTGCTGGAGAACGACAAGACATCCTCGGTCGTCAAGAAGAGGGCCGTGGTGGCGATTTCGATTCTCGCTGTTCACCTGTCGGATGACCTGCTGGACCAGTTGGTCCAGCGGATGGCCAACGACCTCGCCAAGCCCGAACTCTCCGCCGTAACGCGCCGCCTATACATCTCGATTACTGGGTCTCTGGCAAGATCGATCCCCGCCCGGTTCGGTACATACCTAAGTACGCTGGTGCCCTTCATCCTCCAGGCCCTCAGCGAGGGCGAGCTTGAGAAGCACCTAGAGGAAATTAGCGACGGAGACGATGTCGGACAGGATTTCAACGAGGTGCGGGAGTCCGCTCTCGTGGCCCTAGAGTCATTCCTTGCGGCGTGCCCGACGGAGATGCGCCCATTTACCGATGAAACCATCAAGGCGACTCTCAGATATCTCAAGTACGACCCCAACTACGCCATGGGCGACGACGACGAAGACATGGAGGTCGACGAAGAGGAAGACGAGGAGGATGCGGACGACGAATTCGAGGATGATGCCGGTTTCGACGACGATGACGACGCGAGCTGGAAGGTCCGTCGTTGTGCCGCCAAGGCTCTCTACACTCTCATCTCTACCCGCGGAAGCGGCGACTTGCTGGAGAACGGCGTCCTTTACAGCCAGGCCGGCCCCACATTGGTCAAGAGGTTCGACGAGAGGGAAGAGAATGTCCGTCTTGAGGTCATCTCCTGCTTGTCCCTGCTTGTCCGAAAGACTGGCGAGGGCATCTACCCCACCGATCTGTCACTCGACGACCAAGAGCCGGAGGCTCCCAGTTTGATCCCTGTCAGCCGGAAGCGTAGACGGCAGAGCAGCGGCGGCGGGTCTATGAACACCCCCCACACTGCCACTGGTTTGACCTCTCCGACCCTGGAGAGGATCCCCTCTAGCGGTCCTCGCGCCGACCTAGCCCGTTTTACGCCGACGATTGTTAAGGCTTCCACGAAACTGCTCAAGGGCAAGGTAATCCCTACGAAGCAGGCAATCATTAACCTCCTGGACGACATCATCACGGTTCAGCGAGGTGGTCTGTCCGACTACTTCAACGATGCCATTGGCCCCATCATTGAGTCGATCAAGCCCACCGGAGCTTCTGCACTCGCCTCATCCCTTGCAGCGTCCGGTGGCAATGCGTCGGCCACGCCCAGCACTCTACGTGTTGCTGCTCTGAAGCTCACCAGCGACATTGCCAAGACTCACTCTTCGAGCCTCCTGCAACCGTATCTGACCAAGATTGTTGCCGGTGTGATTGCGGCAGCAAATGATCGGTTCTACAAGATCTCAAGTGAAGCCATCGGAACGATCGAGGAACTGGTGAAGGCAATCACACCCCCGCGGTCCAAGATGACGGCACAGAAATTCAAGGGCGAGTTGCAGAAGCTCTTTGACACAATCATGGACAGAATCACCGCAACTGACGCCGATGCCGAGGTCAAACAGCGTGGTATCCACGCTCTGGGCGTGCTTCTGTCGAGAACTTCTGGTGCCGATGGCGCTGGTTTGATCCAGGCGGACAAGCGTCAAGCAGCCTTGGCTGCTCTGCTCGACCGACTCAAGAACGAGACGACCCGCCTTGCTGCCGTCAGAGCCGTCGACAACGTTGCCGCTTTCAGCACTAGCAGTGGACAGCTCGAAACGTCGTGGATCCGGGAGGTTGCATTGGAGCTGGCAGGACAGCTGCGCAAGGCCAACCGATCCCTTCGTGGCTCCAGCATCCTGGCTTTAAAGCACTTGATCGTGTCGCCAACGGCCAGGGGCGAGCTAGACGCAAACACTATCCAGGGCCTTGTCTCGGCGTTGGTGCCCGTGGTCAGCAATAACGACACCCACTTGCTGGCACCGGCCCTACTTATTTTGGCAAGTCTCGTCGAGGAGAACGCAGACCTCGTTGTCACACAATCGATGACCGCCACCATCTGCAGTCTCCTCAAGTCTAGCTATGCCAGCATTGTCTTGGACCAGATCCTCATCCTTGTCACGAAAGTGGGCGAGAGCGGCGCCGGCCAGCCGCTCATGCAAGGCCTTCTCAAGGACGTTAGTATCGAAGGTGACCCCGTTGTGGTTGGTAAGGTCATTGGCGCGCTTCTCGTTGCCAGCGGAAGCTCTGCTGGTGTCACGGTCGAAAGCTTCATCTCCGAGCTGCAGACCAGCTCAAACAACAAGGATGACGCTCGCTTGAGCCTGGCACTGGCGGTGCTCGGTGAGGCCGGTCTCCGTCTTGGAGCCAACTCACCCTTGAAACCAGACCTATTCTTGCAGCAGTTCCACGATGAGCCCGACAAAGTCTCGATCTCGGCCGCAGTGGCTCTCGGCCGTGCGGGCTCGGGCAACGTTTCCGAGTACCTCCCAGTAATTCTGGAAACCATGCAGAAGGGTGGCAACACGCAGTACTTGCTGATTCAATCGATCAAAGAGATCTTGCAACAAGTCACTGTTTTGTCCTCGGAGGTTGCCAAGTTTGCCGGCGATATCTGGCAGCACCTTCTCTCTGCCTCCACCATCCCTGACAACCGTGTCGTTTGCGCAGAGTGTGTGGGTCGGCTGACCATTATCGACTCCCAGACATTTATGCCCCAGTTGCAGGTACGTTGATGAGCTTGATGACGAGACTGAATTCTGGCTAACATTTGGAAGTCACTTCTGAGAGACCAGAACCCTGATATCCGTGGCATGGCGGTGCAAGCCGTCCGCTACACGCTACCTGACAGTGACGAGGCCTTTGACGCCATGCTCAAGAACGTCCTTGTTGACATGCTCCTCGTCATGCTCCAAGACTCGGAGATGGACAACCGCCGCTTGGCCATGTCAACATTGAACTCGGCGGCTCACAACAAGCCCGATCTCATCCTGCCTCACCTCGGCGAGCTGATGCCGTTTGTTCTGGCCGAGTCAGTCATCAAGCCACAGTTGATCCGTGAAGTCATGATGGGCCCCTTCAAACATATGGTGGATGATGGCCTTGAAGTCCGCAAGGTATGTATTACCTCGACCCTGCTTGAGGCTACGCTAACCACGACTGCAGAGTGCATACGAGACGTTGTACGCTCTCATGGAGACGGCTTTCTCAAGGATCAACAACATTGACTTCTACGACCGCGTGGTTGCCGGCCTGAAAGACGACAATGACATTCGCAGTCTCTGCAACCTGATGGTGTCTAAGCTTATCGTTCTCGATCCTGATGAGACGAGCCGCCGCCTGGACTCCATCGCCGAGGCATACCGCGCAATCTTGTCGACTAAGCTGAAGGATGGCGCCGTCAAGCAGGACGTGGAGAAGCAGGAGGAGGCAAACAAGAGCGTCTTGAGAGTGACGCTCTTGCTTGGCGATAGACTCAAGGGTGCCAAGGGGGTTCCGGCAAGGCGGCAGCAAACGCCAACGCGGGCGGTGCCAGCCAGGCTTGGAACGCTTACTGGGAGTGGGTCAACAAGGAGTTCCAGACGCAGCTTAGAAATTTGCGTGAGGAGAGCAAGGAGAACCGCGTCCTGTAAAGTGAGGAAAAATTCGAGGCCGGCCTGGAAATCATCAGGCACTACTTAGAGCGATATGAACAGCAGAGGACGAACAAGATTTCAGCATCGCCCTGGTGATTTTTCTGAACTTGCGTGATTGTGCTTTTAACCCAAATTTTCATACAGTTCGAAGTTTGCTGTTCAATGATCCGCCATCTTCTTTAGTCTCAAGACTATTGAACTCAATGCCACTCATGATACCAGGATGTCGTGAGTTCTGACACAAAATCATATACGCATAGTTTTAGCGTAAATGCTATTTCGTCTGTAGGGAGGTTTCTCTTGGTAGCTATTTGCTCTTATCTTTATCTTCTATATACAAACGTCCGTGTTGCAGACTCCGGTCTTGCATACATTACATTAGGTTTACTTGGATCGAGAGGGGTATTGTGTGTTCTGCTCTTAAAATGCCGAACCTGGCGACTTACTGTTTCCGTCCTTTGTTGAACTCCATCGTGTCTCCCTTTCCTAGTTTTTCTTCGTCGCTCCAGGCTCCGACCCGACAATGGTCATCTCATCCTCCTGGCGGGATACCGGGTTGATGTCCAACCCTGTTTCCGTCTTCTCTGAAGCAACACCGCCATCCACACTTCGTTCCCGAACCTTTTCGTCGTCGAGCTCCTTCTCGCTGTCCTCGTCCGCTTCCTTATCTTTTCGCGCCTCCCCAGCCACAGCGGCCGCACCGACCCCTGAAATGCCACCCACAGCGGCCCCGGCCTCGGCCGCCTCGAGGTCTTGTTTGGCCTTTATCCTCGCCTGTTCTCCCGTCTTCACGCTCTTCCACTCCATCCCGGCCCCGCCGATAATCACAGAGCAAACCAGCACCAACCCGACTATGAAGACGACCCTCAGAGCGTCGTTGTAGGCCACCAGCACGGGCCCTCTCACGGCCGCCGGCAGCTCCGTCAGAGTCGTCGCCCCGGACCCCTGGAGGTTGACCCCCTCAAGCCCCGGGAGGCCTCTGATGCGCTTCACGAGCTCGTTGTTGAGCACGTTCTGCCCGACCGAGATGAAGATGGCGCCGCCCAGGGTTTGGGAGAAGAACATAATACTCGCGCCCACGGGCACGTCCTTCATCTTCAGGACCGTCTGCGCGGCGAGGTTGGGCGCCTGGAAGCACATGCCCATGCCGACACCGTAGATGACCTGGTACCCGGCCCACTTTGCCGCGCCGGTGTCGACTTGGAGGGTGGTGAGGAGGCCGGCGCCGATGGCCATGATGCAGGTTCCCACGAGCATGACGGGGGTGTAGTATCCGGTACGGGTGATGATGCCGCCCGAGACGCCGGCGAAGACGGTCATGGAGAGGACGAGCGGGAGGGTGCGGATGCCGGAGTCGACGGCGGAGACGCCCTGGATGGCCTGGAAGTAGATTGGGATGAAGTAGGCAAAGATCATCATCTGTCCGCCAATGGAGAAGGCGGCCCAGGAGGCGAAGGCGATGGAGCGGTTGCGCATGATGCGGGGCGGGACGGTCGCGGTTTCGGGGAGAAGGATTTGGATTCCGACAAAGGAGACGAGAAGGACAAAGGCGAGGACCAGAAGGGCGATCATGCGAGGGTTGTTCCACTGGATGGCGTTAGTGTTTAGTTCGCACAACGAACAAGGGCTGGTGGTGGAGGGATCATGGAAAGGGGCTTTGGACAAGACTCACCGCATATTCGACACCTCCCCATTGCAATGCCAGGAGGAGACACACAACACCGGGGATAAAGACCGTCGTCCCGGCAAAGTCCAGCTGCTTCAGCTTGGCCCACAGCGACGACTCCTTGAGCTCCTGGTCCGGCGGCTTCAGCACAAACGCAATCACCAGCAAGGCAACCCCGCCCAGCGGCAGGTTGATGTAGAAGCACCACCTCCACGTCGCCTTGCTCGTGAACGCGCCGCCCAGCAACGGGCCCACGACGGACGCGATGCCAAAGACGGCGCCAAAGGCGCCCTGGTACTTTGGGCGACGGTGGAGCGGCACGGAGTGCACCATGATGACGATAGTCCCGGCGAAGATGCCCGCGCCGCCGATACCCGCAATGGCGCGGCCGATGATGAAGGCGACGCTGGAGGGGGCGGCGCCGCACAGGGCGGAGCCGACTTCGAAGAGGAGCACGGACGAGAGGAAGACGTGCTTGATGGAGAAGAAGGCGTAGAGCTTGCCGAAGAGGAGCTGGAAGGCGCAGGTCGTGAGAAGGTAGGCGGAGCCGTACCAGCCTATGTCGGTGACGGAGTGGAATTCGTCAGTGATTCTGGGGATTGCCGTGGCGATGATGAGACGGTCCTGTGTTGTGGTGTTAGTTTGACGGTTTCGAGATTGGAGGCATGAGCGAGGGAGACGACGGGGGGGGGTTACCAGGGCGACGAGGAACATAGTCATGAAGATGGAGAGCATGATCAGGAAGAGCTTGAGGCCGGTCGGATACTGGATCTCGGGTTGGGTGGTTGAGGTGTGAGTGAGGGCATGCTGGGCGGGTTGTTGCTGGTCCTCGTCATCGTGGATCTTGCTCGACCGCGATGAGGCGGGCTGGTCGGTCGTTGTGGCCGTTGCCGCGACGGCGCCCTTGTCGCGCTTCTTGAAGAACATTGTGACTGATAATCACTCGATGTGGTCGTGTTCAACAGGTATCTCGCAGTCTACGATCTTTTTCTTGGTGTTGCGCGGTACCGTTCGTCTAGCCGGGACTAATGACAGCTCTCATCCAGGATGAACCCAATATGGACGCCGAGGCAAATTCAAACTTTGGTCTTTGATATGAACGAGAGGGGTGAAGAGGCGACGATGAGGAAAAACAAGCAGGCAAACAAAAACATCCAATGAAGGTGTCAATGCCTGGGGTGTTATACCTCTCATCTCTTCACTCATTCCCCTTGGCAGCAAGGCACGGCTAGTTGAAACGAGACCAGAAAAAAAACGAATACTAGCTCCCCCGGACACCCAAAACGCCATCCGGTCACGAAAACAAGTCGACGACGCACATGTTCCGGCATGACGACGACTTACGTCCAGCAAACAAATCGGGGCCCCCTTTCTTCTTTGGCCAAAAGTTCTCCCCCTTCCCGCACTAGAAAGAGCCTCCAATCTTGGCTCCCGCCCTCCCTGCATGTTCCGGGCTGGGCCAATCCCATGGCGCGACGACCAACACATCGATTCCGCATCGCTCCTAGTACGGGCCGTGGCCAGCCCACATGTAGGGCTAGACGACTAATGGGGGAAAGCCCAGCTGGTCTCGCGTTGTGGCAGAGAGAGAGAGTCGGGTAAGCGGCACTCATCCGCCGATTCATTCGCGTGTGTCTGACCTATTCCGCCAGTCTGCTGCTGCCTATGGCATAAAGAACAAGACAAGAGACAAACAAGCGATGGCGATGGCGGCGGCGGCGCATAATTCCAGATTGTTCCGCGCTGCGAAGTCTGAAAGAGGAAGGAAAATGCTCCAAGCCGGGTGCTATCAGACGGGACCGAGCGGGCGATGGGCGCGCGTGTGACCAACCCGGGGTTGTTTGCCAGCCAGTTGGTTGGTGGTGAGCTAGCGAACCATTTGCTGGTGGGCAGCTAGGTAGGTTGGTAGGTACTACCTAGGTCAAAGGGGAGAGAGAGCGGCTTCTCATTGGGGTAGCTCGGTCCCGAGGCCAAGAGGTCGGGCTTTGGACGGGTATCTCTCACCCCGAGCCCCGAGGCGTCTTACACACCGGTTCATCGGGGGATATGCAACGCTCCGCTCCGTGGTCCATCCGACTCTAAAAATTCCCCTTACTCTCCCCCCTCTGGCTCGTACGGGGAGCTACCCACCCAAGCATGACTCCCTTTTTCCATCTCGTTCCCTTTCTTTTCCGAACGAGGCAGTCCCCTCCGAGCCCGACGAATCGGGGCCCGGCGACTCGGAGCGGTTGATGATGTCACCACACAGCTCCCTCCCCCTCTCCTTCCGCAAAATCCTCGGACAACCGAACCCCACGCATTGCATACAGTCTTGCTCTTCCGTCGAGTTCCAACAACGCACCCCGGGACGCGCCCGCGGGATTGGTCGCTGCGCCTCAATGCCGTCGGTACCCTGGCGAGGGGCCGCCTCGAGCCCAAAGTAAGACGGCCTGATGTTGAGTATCCATGCCCCCCCCCAAAGGACCACATGATCCAGTTGCGGGCGAACCGTCTCGAACAATGGAACTTTGAATGTCCGTTGGACCTGGAATCGAGACGAGCAAGGCCTGCCCGCGCCGTGGCCGGGGTCCAGAAGAATCAGAATGCATATGCAAGTCTCGTAACTTAGGGACCTGGTGGGCGGTGGGGGGCTAGGCATGAGCGGAATCCTTCGCATCGCGAAATGTCGCCGCAAGCCGCCGAGGGGACTCGGCATCATTTCCACGCCTTGCCGTCGTAGGGTCATCGGCCACTTTTGTCACTTGGAGCAAGACCAAATTCACAAGTCTCCGCAATGCAGTCCCAAGGGCATCTATAGACACCCGTCTATTTACCATTAGGTAGTTTCGTCATCTCGTGGTGCTATCGTTACAGATGTGGGAGAGTGGTCACTTTAAGCCTAAACACCGGAGAAAGACAAACCAAAAGCTAAAGAGTTCCTAAGCCAGCCCTCTCTCTTTGAGTGACGAGAGATGCCATACCCACCTGCCCCGTTCTTTCCAGTAACCCCCAGGCACCAGGATGAAAATTCATGCAATTACCAGCCTCTATTCGTTGGTGGCACGCCAAAGTTTCCAAACTGCCCAAACATGTTTGCAGTGGACTGCTGGTTCATGTTGCCGTTGGGGACGCCCAAGTCCGCCCACATGTCTAGGTCGTAAAAGTTCGTTGTGTCGAGGAAGTTGCCCAGGAATTGATCCATGGGTTGGTCTTGCCTTTGAGGGATTTCCATCTTCAACGTCTGCGCCGGAGAGGGGCCACACGACGATGCCTCCGAGCTCGATTGGGGAACGGTATCCTGTAGCCGTGGGATGGCGATGGGGGTTTCGTAGGGTAGGCCCATCTGGACCAGCGCTCGCTCTCGTGCCCTCCAAGCTTTCAGCATATAGACACCCAGCTGCGTGTTCTCCTTCTTCGACATGTCCCACAGCTCCTCGTGGTACTGGTATATCCTGTCGACAACCTTCCAAGCGCGATCCGCCAGTCTGCCGGTTGGTCTCTTGTACAGCTGCCCAGCCATGACAATGAAGACATCGATCTGGAAGTGCAGCTTGAAAAACCAGACAAACCCCGTGTTCTCCATAAAGTCGTACAGCTCGACGTTGTGCTCGTGATGCATCAGGGAGATCCGGAACATGTTGTCCTGCACGTTGAAAATCTCGGTGCCCCATTCCGGCAGTTCGCGCATTGGTATCATCATCGTCCGCATCTTATCGATGATCATGGAGCGGATCTTGGTCGCAACGATGTGAATGTTGCCGGCCAAGGGGTCGCAGTATCGCTTCTCGAGGGCGATGAGCTTCGCATCGAGGTTATCGACCAGAGTTCGGTACTTTGCCAATGACGTCTGGGTTGCCAGCTGGGAGTCTTGGCTGTCATTTTCCATGGCGCCGAGGACGACGGCCTCGAAATCGGGGATTCGGTTCTCGACGATGAAGCGACCAACTTCGTAGAGGAGCAGGCAGAAGGCCATTTCTGTTGGTCCTTCCCGGGGCTGAACGGGTTCGGTCGAGCCGGGGAACAAGTCGGCGTCGTTTACGTTTTGCGGCGTCTGCGTATCCCAGTTCCAAGGCAGCAATGTGTCGCAGAAGCCCGACACCATGGCGTACTTGGTGTCCAACATGATGATCTGCCACCAAAGCCTTCGTCGCATTTCCGTCTCATACGGTGTCAGATTGAGAAGCTCGCCGTCCCTGTGGAGCCCCATCTTTTGGGCAATTCTGATTAGGATGCCGCTGAGGACCCAGGCCGCATGGCGGTTATACCGGCCTTGGAGGGAGATCTGTTCGGAATTAGCAAAGACAGACCTCGGGATCTAATGCGATCATATAGACGAACCAGATACAAGATCAAGGCTTGCAGCGTCATCAGGTCATGGTTCTTGAGAAAGTTGACCTTGGTCAACGCTGCCTTGACACCCGCGGTGAATTTCTTAAGCGCCTCCTCTTTAGAGGTATCCAGCATCTGCCGCGCTTCTGACTCCGTCATGGTGAGGGTCGCAACGAGATAGATGGAAAAGAGCAAGGCCTGCGCGTTGTTGGCGACGTTGGAGTGGTTCGCAGCCGCCTCTACAACCAGTGGCTGCAGACTGGGGACGTGGATGAGTTTGGTGATGGGGTTGACCCTTTCCAAGAACACCTGCCAGAGTCTGAATATCTGGACAGGGGAGGGCGTGACGTCTTCCAGGTCAATCGCGGCAATGTCGTTCAGAAGAAGGTCTACGTTATCGTCGGGGGTTACGGCGTCGGATCCGAGAACACTTTGTTCTTCTTCCTCAGCCTCGATAATTTGTCGCATGGCTGTCAACTAGAAGGATGTTAGGCCGAGCTGGCGACCAACTATACTTGACGGGCTAACTGAGGCAATGCGAATACAAGAGTGGGAACTACGCACCTGATCATGGACGGTTGCCCAGAGGTAGCTGTCCATGAACCTGACACTGCCATCTTCGACTACTACTTTGCCAGCTGGTTTCCATGATGTCGTCGGCGGGGAGGTGTCCTCAGAAACCGAGGCGGAACCCGATGGTAGTGGCAGTTGGGGTATGCTCGGCGACGGACCAGCTGACGAGGGAGTGGCGAAAGTCGAAGGCGACAGGGTTGCGTGGGTAGCGGGCGGCGTTGTCGAAGCAGTAGCATATTGCTTCAGAAGAGCCTCGCATCTTGCCAACCTCTCTTGCAAGTCCTGATTTGGCCTTCTTCTCTTGCGCGCGGGAGCTGGTGTAGAGGGAGTGCATGTGACATTTGCCTAACACGAGTCAGCGCGTATTCGAGCTGCGCAACGAAGGAGAGCGCACCTTGATACAGTTGGAGCATGGAGTGTTCCGGTCGCACTTGATCTTGCGATGCTGGCAGAGGACACAAGCCAGAACCCTCTGGCTCTTGTTGTGGTTCGGATTGGTACTCATTGGTAGGGCTGAGGCTGAACAGCCTTATGGGGATGCAGTAGTTGCCACGATAAAGGTTCGAATCAGGACGACGTCGTCCATGAAACGGGGTAGCTAGCACAACCCAAGTCTTCGGAACGTGTGGGCGCGCGGCCCTTATGGGTGATTCCCTGGCGGGAGGAGTCCGTCGGTTGGACAGTTGCAAGGGGGGTTCCGTTCCACTGGTCCAGCAGGCGGGAAAGATGAGAAAACAATAGAGTGGCGAGACGCTGAGACCCGAGGGTTAATAAACGCAAACGGATCTGGACGCGACCCTAAAGTGGGATGAAGAAGGGCCCCCCTTTGGCGAGGTTCACACAAGGCGCGTGCGATCTGCCGCAGTAGAAAGCCAAAGTTTTTTCTTCTTCTTTTCTTCTTTTGGCTTAGAAATGGGTAGAGGTGGGAATACCAGGTTGCCCTGGGTGCAAGATGGTGTCGATGACCAACCGAGGCGGGGATTAGCGCGAGAGACAGAGTCTGAACCGTTATGCTTCTCGGGTTGTGCGGTGCGGCGGAGAAAGTGGGAAGGGGAGGGAAGGGCGTCTATGAGTCTTTGAGGACACCGCCGACGAGGGTCAATCGTGGGCTGGGCTGGGCTGGGCTCGTCCGGGAAGAGCGGGCGGGAGGCCTGGCGCAGGGTCGAGGTTCTGGTTAGGCAAGACCAGGCAAGGTAAATTGGGCTGGGGGAGGGGGACCAGGGCGCCCTGCTTTGAGACGACGCGCGTGCAGCGTTGATGCGAGCGAGCGAAGCGGAGCGGATGCCTGGCGGTAGATATGGACAATGGTTCCTTGAGCCCCTGGGCTGCCTTGCTTACCCGTACCTTAGCGGAGGATCTGGGGGTATGATGTGAGATGAGAGCTTTTTGGTGGGATGAAGGGAAGAAGGGCTGGACACGCCCAGTCAGACGTGAATGGGAAGTGCAGCAGGAGTGGGCGGCGGGGAGCTTGGAGAATCGGCGGCGGCTGTGCGGGTCGCGACGGCGGAATGCGAAAGGTTGAGCAATGGTAGCGTTATGCTACTTGCTGGCGCGTTGGACGATTAGTGGTGGTGGTGGTGGTGGTCGATGTTGGCGGCAGCGAGCCGAAAGAAGACTGAATTAAAGCGGGAGGACTGCGGTAATGGTCTCTAGTCCAGCAAAGACGGGCGCGGGTCAACACATAGGTCGCTCGGCGTGACTCGTTCGGGATTCCAGGAAACCCGATGCAGCGCAACCCAGCCAAGAGGGATAAGTGACGACTGGCTACGTGTGTCGTGTGCGTCTCACTACCGGGCAGGTCTCTACCGACCGTCTGGCTGGTACTTTGGGACCTTATCACGTATAAGATGCGACGATGTCTTCGCGTCGGTTCTGCTGACCCGAGGCGTGTTTTCCTCACGCGATTTCCACAGGGAGGGCGTTGTTGTTGTTGTTGCTGCAGGTACGAACAATTGGAGACGAAGAACTCGCAAGGCAGGTGACAAGAAAGCTTAGGGTGAAGGAGGGGGAGAAGAGACAGGGCAGGTCAACCAGAACAAGAGGGGGGTGAGGTTGAGGTCGTCGGACGGAACGGACGAAACGGCGGAGGAATGACGCCAATACCCTCCCACTGCTTAGGCGGGCAAGGTGCCCAGGTGGACTTTGTGCATGTGCGGTCCGTCTCCTTCGCAGCGCTAGCCAGCCAGCATGTCCAAAGCGGCCGGTGGAAAGTAACAGAACCCTGAGACACCACCCACTCCCTCGCCCAGCGAGCGACTAGTGTAGACCGTGGGGTGTGTGTGAGAGAGAGTCACTTGGGTGACAAAAGCAAGCGCCGCTGTTCTATCCCTTTACCATACAACTCCCGGTGCTGGTTTTTGTCACCCGAGTGAAAGTGAAGAGAGTCGTGACCCAAAACTGTGAGTGACTTGGCCCACCGCGTTCCGGAAGCACTGGGGGTTTGGTTGCACAGCGTAGCATCAAGCGGATGCGCCGATGGGGGACGGGATGGGATCGGGGGTCGACGAGGGTAGATCAATTTCAGGGTTCGTGAGTAACAAAGGTGCGATATTGACGCGGGACGCTGATGCAGCCAGAGAGGGATGAAAGTTGCATGGAGCCCGTACAATGCCGTCGAATGTGACGAGACGGGCCACGGGACTGGCTGGCGCTGATGGGGAGTACCATGGTAGTTCGGGAACAATTGGAGAGGAAGGGGAGAGGACCGGGAGGTCGAGACCAATGTCCAAGGTTCAAAGTTATTGTTGGAAACCGGCCAGGCGGTGCTCCTGCCGAGTGCCAGGTGAGTCTTCCTGACAGAAGTCACGTCAAAGAGACCGACCATGCTGCGGAGGCTGACGGGCTGGCCTGGATTGCGGAGGGGAAACGACGGACGAGAATTGGATGGCGGGGAATGGAACTGGGCCGAGAGGGAAAGTAGAGGTCCGAGATCCATGTCATGAGCCATCATGAGCCAGTCCACCTCCACCTCACCTTACCTCCTCCCACACGAGCAAGGTGCCTCGTGAGAATCAGGAATCTAAAACAGCAGATAGCTCTCCACGACCGCCAGCTAGTAGACGCCATCCTGGTTTATCCCTGAATGGGGAACTACAATGGTACGATTCAGGAGCAAGCGCTTGTATGGCCTTGGTGGTGAAGCACCGCCACCGCGCAACTGCATCGCAGTGACAGTCCAGGTGTGCTATCTATCTGTCCTCTCCTACGGGCTGGGCTTACGTTGAGGCACAGACTTCTGCAGCGCGCGCTGTCCGTCGCGCAATGGCAAAGTCCAGACAACCAGATGCCCGCGCTGCCGTAAGCATCTAGCCAAGCAGACAGGAACTTCCCCGCGCTCGTGAGAACCGCGATGCATGTGGCATATACAGGGTGCTTACGTGCCTTGCCTTGGATGATGGTGGTATTTCGTAGGCAACATCGGAATCCATACGCGTACAGGGCCGCCCCTGAACAAATTCGATCACAAGGGAAGCCAAGAAAAAAGAAAATGCCGGCGAGCGGCCTTTCCTTGAAGACATGTCCGAGTACTTTTACGGCGGCTGCAGATTGTGCAAAGCCTATCTGGCGTTCCATTGCATGATTGCATGCGGCTTATAGACTTATGCACGGAAGCCAGCTCCCGAAGAGAGATGTGCAACTTGCACAAACCGAGAGGAGCGTCCCCTCCCACCGGACCGTCGACACACCCTTGGGAGGCGGGAGCCACACGCTGATTTGTCGAACAATGGAATGAATTCTAGATGCGTCGCCGGCGTTGACAGAGTTGACCGCTGAACAGAACTGAGCTGCGGATCCTTTTTTGAGAGGCGGCGGAGTTATCCCACCCGCCCGGTCGTTTTATCTCCGTGATCCGGCCTGCTTCCGGCCAAACGCCGTCGTATTCGTTTCCTTTCGGCTGAATCGTTTCCCAGAGAGTGGAGGGGAGCTGATTATGCAAGCCAGGGGGGGGGACCTAGCCTTATCGATTAGATCAGGTCGATAAAACTTCGAGCCACAGCAAAGATTGTTCCAACCAATGGCAAAGCTTCCGAAAGTGATTTCACCAGCTGGCCCGGCTCTTTTGCGGGTGCCCCACACCGGAATCAATCGGCCCCCACACCCAGACTCCAAATTTTTGGGCCGTTGGTTTTGACGACGCCAACCAAGGTGGCATAGGCCGACATCGCGACAAGCCGCCAAAAAAAACATCCACCTGTCACTCCCTCATCCGCAGCACGTTCGACCACCCCCGGTACCCCATTTTGAGACGGCTGGACGGAGGGACTACAAGCAGGAAAGGCATTGATACGATTGACCTTTGGCTTGTCTCTACAAAATCGCAATGCTTCCCATCGTAAGTGTGCAAAATCGCCTCACCCCTCTCCGAAATCGCCGCGGGTCCCTTTCTAGCCCTCTAGTTGCAATGCTCCTTTGCTAATGTTCATGTCCCACAGAGAAGAAGCGTGGCTCTTCAGGCCACGAGAGGCTGCCGCAGCATCCTCCAACGACAGCTCGTCTCCTCGTCGCGAACGTTCCGCCCCAGCTTCTACACGACCTCTGCTCGCCTCCGTCAGAATGCTCTCCATTCCCAAACCGAGACCGGCCCCACCGCAACGGACTTCCTCGTCTCCAAGCCGATCTCCAAGATCGAGAACCCGCAGACCTTGACCGAGAAGATTGTCCAGCGATACTCGGTTGGCCTTGCTCCTGGCAAGAAAGTCCGCGCAGGCGACTATGTCACAATCAAAACCGCCGCGTGTATGACGCACGACAATTCTTTCCCCGTAGCCAAGAAGTTCATGGGACTCGGCGCTGAGAAGATTCACGACCCCCGCCAAATCGTCATGACTCTGGATCACGACGTGCAGAACAAGAGCGAGGCGAACCTCACGAAATACAGACTCATCGAGGAGTTTGCTAACAAGCACGGCGTTGATTTTTACCCTGCCGGCCGTGGTATTGGTCACCAGATCATGGTCGAGGAGGGCTACGCCTGGCCAGGCACCATGGCTGTAGCATCCGACAGCCACTCGAACATGTACGGCGGTATTGGCTGTCTAGGAACCCCGGTGGTACGGACCGATGCTGCCTCTATTTGGGCCACCGGTCGTACTTGGTGGCAGGTCCCTCCCATCGCCAAGATAACCTTGACTGGAGTCCTGCCTCCTGGAGTCACCGGCAAGGACGTCATCGTCGCTCTGTGCGGTCTGTTTAACAAGGACGAGGTTTTGAACCACGCCATTGAATTCACCGGCTCTGAAGAGACCATGAGAAGCCTCTCCATCGATGAGAGACTGACCATTGCGAACATGTCTACCGAGCATGGAGCCTTGTCAGCGCTTTTCGTGAGTGCCCCTTTCCTGAGTAAAAAGTACTACGATGACTGACTACTTCATCAGCCGATTGACTCGACCCTCAAGGCCTGGCTGAGGTCTAAAGCAACCGTCTCGGCCATGATGAGCCCGGGTGGCAAGGCACACAGCCGCTGGAGCCATGAACGCATCGACAGCCTCTTCGAGAATCCCGTCGCTGCTGACCCCGGCGCGACATATGCCAAGTCGCTGTACATGAACCTTTCTACACTGTCACCTTTCGTAGCTGGTCCCAACTCGGTCAAGGTTGCGACCCCTCTCAAGGACCTCGAGGCCCAGGATATCAAGATCAACAAGGCCTACCTTGTCTCGTGTACGAATTCCCGCGCCTCCGATATTGCAGCTGCAGCCCGTGTCTTCCGCGAGGCCGCTAAGAACGGCCAATCCCCCAAAATTGCGCCCGGTGTCAATTTCTACTTGGCTGCTGCATCTAGTCTCGAGCAGCAGGCTGCCGAAGAAGCCGGTGACTGGCAGGTTCTTCTCGAGGCGGGCGCAGAGCCCTTAGTAGCGGGCTGTGGACCTTGTATCGGTTTAGGGACTGGGCTTTTGGAGCCCGGCGAAGTTGGCATCTCGGCGAGTAACAGGAATTTCAAGGGCCGCATGGGCTCTACCGAAGCCAAGGCTTTCCTGGCTAGCCCCGAGGTTGTGGCTGCCAGCGCTTTGCAAGGCAAGATTGCCGGCCCTGGCTGGTATCAGAAGCCGGAGGGAGTCGATAAGGTTATCATCGGCGAGGGCGTCGGCGACATGACTGCTGACATCGCAACGTCCATTGAGGAGGCCCTAGAGAAGCTCATCTCTCAGGCCGACGGCCTCATCGCCGAGTCAGAGAAGGAGTTCTCTGGCGCCCCTGCCGGAGAGACCGCGGCTGCTGAGGGCGAAGAGAAGCTTACGGACGTTCTTCCTGGCTTTCCCGAGAAGGTTGAGGGTGAAATCGTCTTCTGTGATGCTGACAACCTCAACACTGACGGAATCTACCCTGGTATGTTTAAACAAAAAACCCCGAGTATACCCACAAGGACCCGCTCTAACAAATCAACAGGCAAGTACACCTACCAGGACAACGTCTCGGTCGAGAAAATGGCCGAGGTGTGTATGGAGAACTACGATACCGCCTTCCGCGACATTGCCAAGGCCGGCGACATTCTCGTGTCTGGCTTCAACTTCGGCACCGGCAGCTCGCGCGAGCAGGCGGCGACGGCGATCCTGGCCAAGAAGATCCCGCTCGTGGTGGCGGGCAGCTTCGGCAACATCTTCAGCCGCAACAGCATCAACAACGCGCTCATGGGTGTCGAGGTGCCCAAGCTCGTGCAGCGGCTGCGCGAGACGTTCAAGGAGGAGGGTGACAAGAAGGTGCTGACGCGCCGCACCGGCTGGAAGCTGCTGTGGGACGTGCGGAGGAGCAAGGTCACCGTCACGGAGAAGGGCGGCGAGATCTGGAGCGTCAAGGTCGGCGAGCTGCCGCCCAACGTGCAGGAAATCATTGCCCGCGGCGGCCTGGAGCAGTGGGTCAAGGCCGAGATTGAGAAATAAAAAGGGACAGCGACGAGAGACGAAAAGGAGAGAGGGGATTAGACGTTGGAAGCGGGGGGACGAACTATACCAACAATGCTGTTTTTTTTTAGTACTACAGATGGGATACTCCGGACAGGGGCTTTGTGTACAAATGGGCTCTAAAAGTACGTGATACAAATAGAAAAGTTTACTGTTGTGTTTTTAAGCTGTTTTGCCTGCTTGCTTTGCCGTCCGAAGTGAATGGTTCGCATTTCGTGGTACGCTTTTTCCTGCCTTGCTGCACTGCATTTTAAATCCTCCCGGGGGGAGTGCACCACAATGGACCAAGGAATTTAAGCGTACCATATGCTTTATTTTGCCATGGCTCCTAAAGGCATACGTCTCGATAGGGACAAGTGTTCAACTCATGCAACGGGGACAACCTATTGAAATGACGTGAGCTGCCATCAACCGACCGCGTAAAGCTTACAGCGCAAGCGGAATTTCTTTGTTTACACGTAAGCTGTCGGTAGTACCGGTAGGAGATTGACTGGCTGCTGCGACTACCTAGTATGCAGTGGAGTCGTCCAGTCAGATGGAGGCCGTCCGCCAAATTGCCGACTTGGTCATCGGGGATATGGTTCTTAGCGGTGTACCCAATTCTTGTAAGCTGCGGGATTCCTGAGTGGTCCTCCGTAGAGGTGAGTTCCGTGCTTTTTTGGATTGATCCCTCGGGATGGGTTAAAAATGCAGTGAAATTTCCTCAGCCCTACGCCGGCTCCTCATGCAGCCTAACCTCGTTATCACTTGCTGGCAACGCTGGAAAGCTGGGCGTAAGGGTTTTGCTCTCCGGGGCGGGATTAAGATTGCTGTGCAATAATCAGCCTGATCATGGTGTGTTGGCGAACGGTTCGCAATTGGTCCGCCATGTGATCAGGAAAAGACAAGACTATCTGCCCTGCGCGAGTTCCAATCGCAGTGAATAATCCTGCGAGGAGCTTCAGATGCCCCTTGTCACAGGCAGCGCTCGCTGGTGAATGACGCGATACTTTTCGTAAGGAATATTATCCATTAACTTGATTTTGTTTTCTGCCGACTATCCAAAGTCAAAAAACATGTACTGCATAGGGCTGAACGAATAAGGTGTTGATGGTTTTACTTTCCTGGGGGTCCTTCTTTTCTTAATGCCACGCAAAGTTACGTCAGGGAAGCCTGTGAGAATATCGACCCTATCCTGTAAAACCAAGATGGGGAGCCACTTTACCGGCCTCAATACAAAGTTAAACAGGGACTTGTGATGAGTTGGCAAAAGGTTGGCAGAGGCATTAGAGTCCGGCTGGAGCACGCAAGTGGGTTCGAACTGGTGTACATGCTCGTAACAGCTCGGTTTTCTGGTATACGAAAGCGAGAGGATGCGAGAGGAACCGTGTGAGAGAAAGGAAGCTTGAATGGTACTAGCTTTGGTGTGTTGCAATGGGAGGGGCATGGGGCGAAACCGAATACGACCCTGCGTCCCATACGCGTATTCTCTGATCGAGACGAACATACTAATATGGAAGGCGCAGCAATACGCGGTAAATCTCGAGGTGGGAAAATAACCTTAATTCTGGTCTGGTCAGATCATCTGGAGGGAGCGGTGAGATGTGTGCCATCGCGGGACCAAGACGAGCCGAGCCTCGCAAGGCATACACGGCTTTTGCGACGGTACGAGGCATGTGAGATGAACGGCGAGGAACACCGAGATCAGCAGAGTTTCCTTCTCTTTACTCTTTTACGATTTACGGTTTACGACTTTTTACGAGTCACGACGGCGCGTCGAACATGCCCAGCCCATCGACCTCGGGACTTGAGCCCCTGTCCGCGGCTGCGGCCTCTGTCTCTTCCTTGGTCTCAACCGGGATCACAGCCAGCGGTCTCTCGGCGGCAGTCAGCGCCCTCCTCTTCGTCTTCTTGAGCAGCACGTTGTGCCGCCTGCTCTTGACGTGCTTCGTCCAGTCCTGCTCCGTGACGCACGTCGTCTTGCAAATCTCGCACGTCCGGCGGCACAGCGTGCGCTCCGTCTGCGCCGTCGCCTCCCTCAGCACCTCCCGCGCCGTCTCCGACAGCCCCGTGGGCGCGGGCATATCTTCGCCCCTGAGAAAACGCCCCGCGACATCGACGGCTGGGTCGGCGACGTCGGCCGACCACCGTGAGATGTCAGTGCTGTCCATGATGAAGAGATGGTCCAGCGCGCCGGGCTGCTCTTGGAGAAGGGGCACGATCTTTGTGCGGATCCAGCGGGTTTGGTATTTCGCATACTGCCGCGTCGACGTCTTCATCTCCTCGAGGCCAGTCGCCTTGAGGGCCTCGAGGGCGGAGGGGTCCGTCGGGGGGTCGCTCGTGTTGAGGGCCTTGAGATAGGGCGAGAATTCCTTGAAGCCGATCGATTGCCAGATGCCACGGGTGTAGTCCACCTCCTGGCCGGCAGCCTCCTTCGCGCGGACGTACTCGTACATGGACTGGGTCTCGTCGTCGAGGCCGGCGGTCAGCATCTTGTCGACACGCTTATCGAGACGCTCCTTCAATATCTCGGGGTCTGAGTAGACCCAGAAGAGCAGCGTCTGCCAGGGTCCGGCGCTTCCCCCGTCCCGTTTGGTCTCGGCTGTCTTGCGCTGGCGCTGCTCGGCGTAGATCTCCGACGCCGGGCGGCCGTGCTGCAGGTAGATCTGCAGCGAGCGCGAGATCTTGCGCCTGTCGTTCGGGTGCCAACGGTCCGCCATGACGGGGTCTACCTCGAGCAGTTTTGCGAGTATGACGTCGGTCGGCTCGTTGAGGATCGGGAACGAGGAGGTATCATCGTCGACCTTGACGTCGCTATCCTTTGGCTTCTCATCATCGGCGCCGACAAGGGTGTCGTCGAAAAGAAGGGCGTTGGTGTAGTAGTGGGTGCCGCCGACGACGATGGGCAAGTTGCCCCGGCTTCGGATCTCGTGTATGACCCTGTTCGCCTCGCGCTTAAAGTCCTCGACGACCCAAGTGGGCTGGTCGAGGCCGATGTGGTCGAGCAGGTGATGGGGGACGCCGCGGCGCTCTTCGGGGGTGATTTTGTTGGTGATGATGGGCAGGCCCTTGTACATCTGCATGGCGTCTGCGTTGATGATTTCGCCATTGAAGCGAGTTGCGAGCTCTATGGCGAGCTATGTCCGTCAGCTTGGGATCGCGTCGGGGCGCAAGGCTAGAGCACAAGGCCACAAGGTTGTGCGACGCGACTCACCTCTGATTTTCCAGTTCCAGTCGAGCCCAGAATGACGACCAAAGGGTCCGAGGGCGGCGCATTTCGGGCTGTCATGTTGCCAACAACATTGTGTATGAACCTTCGGCCGATCACAGACCGAAGTATCATACCCAGGGAGCCACCGAGAAAAGGACAGCGAGGGGGGCTTACAGCATCGCGATGCTGCTTCGTGTCCTATGGCTGGTGACTCGACTTTCGTCAGTGACTCTTTTCTCGGGTTGACAGCTTCGCGGTTCTCCAAAGAGGTGGCATCAGAACGCATAGGAACGCGCCAGAAGAAAAGAAAAAAAAAAGAGTAGCGGGCAGGCACTGGATTGGGCCGCCGTAGGGATTCATGGGGGTCTTTGGAGACCCCTGGAATTAAGCACTGGCCTGGGCCGGCTGGCAACCTGGGAGCTCCCATCCGAAATGTGGAGGGAGCAAACCCCCGGTGCAACCCCCTGGCTTGCCTTGCCTCTGTCCCTTAGCCAGAGCAGCTTAAAGACGTGAGATTACATGTCAATTGGCGGCGGTCACGTGCTGACGTGCTCCACCTAATTTTTGGACACATCGACAATTTGGCGTTTTTGAAGCCAGATCGCAGCCGACCCTCTTTTTCTGCGTCCCTCAGGTCCCAGTCCCCCAACGCTGAAGCTGTCCTTTTGCTTCCTCTCCCCTTAATAACCTAAACCTTCCTCTCTCCATCTCCCCATCACCATCACCTCCCCCCCCTTCGCCACACCCGGAGCCATTGTCGCTCTCTACCTCTCTTCTTCTCTCTCCCTTCATCTGGATGAATTAAATCCTTTGTTTGTTGTTTTCTCTCAGTGTAACAGCCCATCATGAGTTCCCGTAAGTTGCAGCCCCCAATTGCCACCAAACCTCCAAAAAATCGCGTGCTCCCAGGCGCATAGCTCCAAAAAGGACACGCGCGCCATAATTGTCGCACACTCGGCCAACGATGCCACCCCCCAAAAGCAACCGCATCACAAGAGAACATCCCAATGGCTAACGCGCGCGCTTTCGCATTACAGTACGGTTCCTCGATCTGGTCAAGCCGTTCGTGCCGTTCCTCCCCGAGGTTCAGCAGCCGGAGACCAAGATCCCCTTCAACCAGAAGCTGATGTGGACGGCCCTGACCCTCCTCATCTTCCTGGTCATGAGCCAGATGCCCCTTTACGGCATTGTCTCGTCCGACAACTCGGATCCTCTATACTGGCTGCGTATGGTTATGGCGAGTAACCGTGGAACGCTGATGGAGCTGGGTATCACTCCCATCATCTCCTCCGGCATGGTCTTCCAGCTCCTCGCCGGTACCCACATGATCGACGTCAACCTCGACCTCAAGAGCGACCGTGAGCTGTACCAGACTGCCCAGAAGCTCTTCGCCTTCATTCTCTCTGCCGGTACCGCCACTGTCTACGTCTTCACCGGCCTCTACGGCCGACCCTCTGACCTTGGCGCCGGTATCGTCTTCCTCCTCGTCCTCCAGCTCTTCGTCGCCGGCATGATCGTCATTCTCCTCGACGAGCTCCTGCAGAAGGGATACGGCTTGGGCTCGGGTATCTCCCTGTTCATCGCCACCAACATCTGCGAGTCCATCATGTGGAAGGCTTTCTCCCCTACCACCATCAACACCGGCCGTGGCCCCGAGTTTGAGGGTGCCGTTATCGCCCTCTTCCACCTGCTCCTCACCTGGCCCAACAAGCAGCGCGCTCTCCAGGAGGCCTTCTACCGCCAGAACCTCCCCAACATCATGAACCTTCTGGCCACCATCCTCGTCTTCGCCGCTGTCATCTACCTCCAGGGCTTCCGCGTCGAGATCCCCGTCAAGTCTTCCCGCCAGCGTGGTGCTCGCGGCTCTTACCCCGTCCGCCTCTTCTACACCTCCAACATGCCCATCATGCTGCAGTCCGCTCTGTCCTCCAACGTCTTCCTCATCAGCCAGATGCTGTACTCCCGCTTCTCCGACAACCTCCTCGTCCGTCTTTTCGGTGTCTGGGAGGCCAAGGATGGCTCCGCTCAGCTCTCTGCCATCTCCGGCCTGGCTTACTACATGTCTCCTCCCTTGAACTTCAAGGACGCCCTCCTCGACCCCATCCACACCGCTGTCTACATCGTCTACATGCTGGGTGCCTGCGCCATCTTCTCCAAGACCTGGATTGAGGTTTCCGGCTCTAGCCCCCGCGATGTCGCCAAGCAGCTCAAGGACCAGGGTCTTGTCATGGCCGGTCACCGCGACCAGAGCATGTACAAGGAGCTCAAGCGCATCATCCCCACCGCCGCTGCCTTCGGTGGTGCCTGCATCGGTGCCCTCTCCGTTGCCAGCGACCTCATGGGCGCCCTCGGCTCCGGCACCGGTACCCTTCTGGCTGTCACGTAAGTTTTGAACCATTCTACGTCAGTGTAAAACATGTTACTAACAGCATCCCAGCATCATCTACGGCTACTTCGAGATTGCTGCCAAGGAGGGTGACCTGGCCGGTATGAAGGGCATGATTATGGGTTAATGTTGCCAGCCAACGAGAACGACATACCCTTTTCAGAAGTATCGAAGCTTCTTCTTTTGTTCATGCGAGGCTTCCAGCAGCCATTATTATCAATGGTGGCTACCTGTGTAATATCACGGCATACATCTATTAAAAAGTCATAAAGAGGCCTTGTTTCCGGGTTGGAAAACAAAAGCAATGGGTTTTCATGGTGATGGTTTAAGGTAGCATTAGGCAACAGGGCGAGTTTACTCTAGACAGCCTCTCGGCATGGCAAGACGGGCTTTAAAAGGATGCCACGGACTCTGACAGAACACGTCATGAGCCACATTTCTTCGCCTGCTTGCCAATGGGAGCTGATCTTGGGGTATTGTATCTAAGACCATGAATGCGGACAAATCCATTTCACGTATCCCCAAAAGCTGTCACATTACTCCGCATTTGATCCGTGATAAGTGTATACGATGTCAAGCTTTCTCCATGGCCGTGGTCCGTATTGCCGGCTCTCATAGCCAGCTCTCAACGGCCGAGTAGCTGACAAGTTTCTGCCGCTTATGGTATAAAGAACTTAGTATAAATAACGTACTAAATCGTCTTGATTTTGCACGGGGTATGATAGCCTCTGGCAACTCCTTAGCTATTCTCATTCCATGTTGTCCGTATTGCTCGTGCATGGTGAACCCCGAGACGAGGGAGATGGGGAAAGGGGCTTGTCTAGAGTGCCCGAGCAGAACTTCCAGGCGTTGGAGATTACATGAGTGGATGGTTCAAAGAGCACGGCATGTAGTCTGGGATACAGAAGACGCACACCCAGCACTGTTGCAGCTTGCTGAAAGACGAGCTACCAAGTAAGATGGGATGTATGTGTTGCTGTAATTTATATGTGGAAGAATGGGCTGGACCTGTTTGTTACCGAGAGGCTCAGGTGACAAACCATACATAAGTAGGAAGGCGAGGTCTCGTATTCGGTCTTGGGCTGTCGCTGGCTGAACCCTTTTCACTGCCTGCACGACCATCGTCGGTGCAAGACAAGGTTCACATATGTATCTCCTGCGTCTGCTCAGCGACTGATTCCTCCATGTCCCCTTGGTCTTTCTCGTTCCCTGTTCCTGCTACTGTAAATACGCAGGACGGAAGAGGATATTGGGGAGAAGCATCCAGTCAACGAAAGCCGGTGCATCACTATAAGCAATACTTCAATCCGTCACAAGAGAGCTGAGAGTTGGGCCGCCTGAAGGTTCACACCCGTTGATCTCGTAGGGACCTAGGATCCAGAATCTGATTCCCCGAGGAGGACATCACAGTCTTTGGGGGAACACACGCCGTATACTGCATGGACCATCGAACCCTTACATAGATGATTTTTTCTCGGGTGGCACTTGATACGCTCGAAACTGGTGTGTTCATAAGGTACGAACTCGTCCATGGTTGGGGGATGAGCTGCCATGCTACTCAAAGGGAAACCACACGGGGTCGACACATCACAGATATCCTCTTTGGGACCGTCCTGTTGGGAACTTCATGGTGGTTCATGTGCCATTGTGGTATCAAATAAGCAGCGTGCCGTGGTCCATATGTTGAAATTTATGACAGTCCAGCCTCCATCACATTCTATACAGAAGGCAAGTCTACACCTGAGCAAGGCAAGAAGGCTTACTATACTTCAAAAACATCATCCCGTTGCATTCAGTTTCCTCACCATCCTCAGCATCACCCATTGGTCAGGGGTCTCGGATCAGGCTAACTAGCTTTCCTCTGACTCTTGGCTGTTTTCGGCGTACTGGCTTCCGCAATGCCACGGCGCGGATGGCGAATTGTGGTATCCGATTTCCTGAAAGGCAGTGGCGAACTTACAAATAGTGATGCTACGCCAGGCACAAGTTGCAGGTTGAAAGGAAAGATGATTTGTCTTGCTCAAACGCCAGGCAGATATCCGAGGGAGTTGTGACACAGCACATAGCATGCGGAGTGTTGTCATGAGCCGCGAGGAACAAGAGGCAGAGCCATTAGAGTTGGTTACGCACGTACATCTCTACCTCCAAGGACATATGATGCTCTATTCCACAAGCAGCGGGAAAGCCTAAAAACCGTGCAGGCACCCTTTTGGTCATAGCCTTGAGCATGACAGCGGCGCAACAGGTTACATCTTACAACGTGGACGCGCCGTATAGACACAACGGACCACAGGGTAGACTATAGCCCTGGTGCAGTATGCTCTTGATACGGACAAGGAAAAACGACAGACTAGACACCTTGAAAATGTCAACATCGACGACGGCAACACCATCAGCCAATTCTTCCACACCCATCAACATCCAGGCTTCATCACACCCAACACAAACCTCTGCCCGGACTACCGGCCCAGAGTCAATTGGAAGCTCCTTCGAGCTGCAGGCGTCTAATTTTTCGCCACGTCCCGTTTCGCGCTTGTATGTTCCCTACCATTGGGGAGGGTACAAATGGATAATATACCCCGGATGATGGGTTAGGGTAGTATGTGCCTTGGCGTGGGGGCTGAGTGTGCCCGGCCCGGGCCCAGAGTAGCGGCCACCTTTGACACGGGGTGGTGGTGCTGGAGGCGTCGAC